TCTTTAGGATATTCTTGATGTATTTTGAACGTTAATTTAACTATGAGATTAAGATTAAGAATGCAACCAGAGAATTTTTCTTACTGAAATGGTAGTTTTTTTTACATAAATGTTAAATTATATGTATTTATTAAATGAATAATAATATATAGTTTACTAACTGTCTACATAGATGACACTTTTACAATAGTTTACGTTGTCTACACGTAAACGTAGAGTATTATATTTTACGCGTAGATGCACAACCCTAGTTTAAAGACGTAGCCCCCGCGCGCGTCCACGTGGCTCGTCGCCCGTGATTTCTACGTAGAAGATGGATTTTTTCGTGTCGGGTAGTATTTCTTTACGTAGCCAAATGGTGCTATATATATAGCTGAAAAAGGTATCCTGTACGGCCCTGGTATAGCTCGACTAAGGGTAAGTTACTGAAATTACTCATTATCCACCTTGTAAACGCATGAGAAACATTAAATACGTTTTTCTCGAATTGATATTTTTCAAATGTCGGGCGTGTATTTTTCTTATAAACTACTGGGCCGATTGACTTGCGCTTTTGTAGACATATAGTGTATGTACATATTAGGCTATCGTTTGAATCTCCAACTTTTTGATCTCTTGAAAATTACTATTTTTCCGGATCGTGAAAATTAAATATTTTTTTATCAAAAATCGAATTATTTCTTTTTTAAGCATCGCCATTTTGTCAATTGTTTTTCAAATGATTTACTAGATTTACTATAAGAGGTTCGAGCGGTAACCACATTTCTAAGGAATAAAATAAAAAAAAATTTCGTTTATTTGAGATGACGAGAACGGCCGCAATCACTATGCCCGATAGAAGAGGAATTTCAAAACATGACCTGCGCGTTTATTTTTGTAATTCTCAAAAGCATTAAAAAAATTTGAGATGTCACTTCCAAATATGTATAAATATAAAAACAAAACATTACATCTATAGGTTTAACCGTTTTTATAAAATTAATTCTCAAAAATCACCTTAAAAACCGGACGTTCACACTAGAATACCCGGCCCTTAAATTCCTTTTCGTGCGCAGCAAATGTGACGGAAGCAGTTTTGAAAAATTTGAATCACGTGACATTTTGCTGCTGCTGCCGGCTGCGTGCTGCGTATGAAAAGGCACCTTAATTTGTATGCGTGTAGACGCGCGTCACGTATGTAGGATTCAAACTCCATCGTGGTACGATGAGCGTTACTGGCGTGCGAGTGAGGATATACGACGAGGAAAAATGTATCCACGAGCGCGAGACTGTTCGGTCTGACGGGAACAATCTGAAAACGCTGATGCGGAATCTGCGAGACGTGCAGTCGGAAGTCAATGATTTTTTAACCACGCTAATTCAACGGCGAGACATGTCCGCCCGGTCCGCCGATGGTTCGCAAATTAGCTCGATACATGAACGGCGTAAATCGCTGTAAATAATTCTTTTCTCCCGCGTGATTTACAGTTTAATTTTCACAATTTTGCGCAGAAATGGCGAGTCAATCAGTCCCCTCAGACATAGAGTTGGACTCGGTTGAGGAGGAAGAGGAAGAAGAGGAGGAGGAGGAGGAGGAGGAGGAAGGCGAGACGCGGGCTAACCCCAAAAAATGCAAGTTGTCGGTTTGAATCGTGTATTCCGTTAATAAATGTAACTACATCGTTGATGCTCTGATGAAGCGTACGAATGCTGTTTCATGATTACACTCCCACCTCTCACCCTGACGTTGTCCTGGAGCGTGGCATTTTTTTAAATCGAATCCGCCGTGCCCCGTGATGACAAATGGTTAAAGTGCGATAACACGTTCCCTGCGTGAGAGCGATAACCGCTAAAGTGACAACGGACGTGGCGGGCGGCGGCGCAGAGGCTTTGGCTCGAGACCGAGAGCACGACTTGGTAATTTGCCGTTGCACATTCGTCAGGCTGTTTATTTTAATTCCGGCACGATTTCTCAATTCTACAGCTGCACTTCTTATCGAGAATGCCATTCATAACCTATAGCGAGAACACGATCCCTTATTCGCCAATATTACACTGTCTCTTCGCGATAAATACTGCCGGCGATCCGATTATGAAGATGTGAACAAAGAAATGGCAATATTTGTCGATTTAATTGTAATAAAATGCAACACTTATTATTTATAATGCATATAGTTTGTAGTAATGTATTGTACATATGTATGTGTATATACGCTACATGCATAAATATTATACATTTATATTTACATACACATACGCATATATCTGAAATAAGTTTTGTTAACATTATGTTTGTTAGCTGTATATTGCGACGGATTGCCATTAATTGTGTTTGTAGACTTATAAGCCTATTCTGTAACTCTTGATGATAGTCGTTATCATTATGTTGCGTGGCTTTTTTATCATGTACTATATCTGTATATATAACATAATATAACAATTCGTCAAGTATTACAAGATAAGCCTATTGTTCTACAATAGATGTAGTAAGCCCTTAGTTTTTGCTCTGAACTAACGTTAAGCGTCGTCTACAATGAGACTTAAGATTTAAGAAAATTAACCAATTACAATCGATTACTCATTTCACGTGATGAATAATCAATTGTGATTTGTCAATTTTCTTAATTTTTAAGTCTCATTGTAGACGCCACTTTAATTTGCTTTAAACTCTCTAAACTTCACAGTTGAGATCTGGTCAGCTCGCTCAAAGCTTAAGGCTTCAAATTTTGGCATAAAGCAGTATCAGAAAGATTCTGCTGGGAAAAAACGTCACAGTTTTAAGCTTAGAACAAGAAATTAAATGCTGACTACATCAGATAATGTTGAATGGATCTTAAACTCATGTTCTACCTGCTGACCAAAACCTGTCAACATTATCTGGCATTTAGCAGAAATGAAACACAATTTATCATTTCATAATCCATTTAAATAGCTATAAATTAATAGGTTCTTTTTAGTTTCTGCAATCAATCTATGCCCATATTAGTATATCATATTATACAATCATATTGTTCTATTATATTTTTGCTGGCATTTTGCCTGCAGAATTTATAGCAGATACTTTGCAAAATGTTTTTTCAACAGTTTTAGTTAACCGAGTATGTGGTATGTGGGTAGCAAATATAATTTCTCTAAAAAATGATCTCACATTTAAATCTTTGTCACGAAACAATTTTATACATATTTTTACAAACGTTTTTTTTGTCCTTTTTAAAATTAATAAAAACGCAGTCACGATTATACCTTTTCCTGCAGAAGTCAACAGCTAATTTTTGGAATCTATTTTTTTTTAAGTGGGAACATGTCTACTATGTTATCAAACGAAGCTCAACTGCGTTACATGATAGAATGGTTCCAAGAATGGTCCGAAATGCAGCGAAATGATTTTCTGAGTGTGTTGCTGGAGAACTGCGGTCCTGCGGGGCTTGTGAACGGACTAGTGGCCGGAATGGAGAAGTTGGGTTGCGAAGGATCTGACAGGCCACCGAGCTTGTTCCAATGTCGCGTCAAGCTCTTTAGAGAATGGAGTAGCAATTGGTCGCAATATGAGAAAGATTCTTTGTTGACAGCTATTAAGAATACAGATAGTAAGTTTGCTGAAATGTATGAAGAAAGATTATCATCGTTGGCGGAAGACAAACAGTAATATGCAAGCATCTTACTCTTTATGACTTACAAATTCCAAATAAAGATATATTTCTATTTTTTAAATTAATATAAATTTTGGCAAGCTTATTTTTTTATATTTATATATTTATTTTTTTATTCATATATGTGTATATATATATATATATATATATATATATATATATGCACGTACACGCGCACGCACGGACACATATATGTACACATTATATATATATATGAATTATTTGAAAGTGTCATAAATAAAATCATGATGTTAATCATATGTATATTAAATTATTCTTATAGCATACTTTCATCTTTATGTATCAAAATTTAATTTATGTCGCTTTCAAAATGAAAGAAAATTCTCAACTTTTAAAAATGAAAAAAATATATCATTGTGAAACGGATTCATGTTGTAGCTAAGATGTCATATTGATAGAAATAGAATACTTAAGACAAAATAAGTAAGATGATTGTACAAATATTTGCAAAATTGAACTTCTTTTTCTTATTTTTCGGCGCTAGAAAGCTGTGTTTCTTATTTTATACATTCCTCCGTCTTTGTATTTCATATTCCTTATGCTTAAACATTGTCATTTAGTCAAGTTTTATCTATAGTTACTATATTATTATTATTATTATTATTATACATATAGACTTTGTACGGATACACAGATATGATGTAAATGGCTGTAAACAAGATGATGTGAATTAGGAATTATTTTAAATTTAAAGAAAGCACTATAATTAATCTTTTAAGAAGAATTAAGCTATGCTCTATGATTTTCAATGAATGTTATATTCTATATATTAATAATAATTATACAGTCTCAAGAACTTTTAATAATAGTTTTTAATAAAATGAGAATGAAGACGATTCTTCAACAGGAAATCTGGTTTATAGCTCAAAATCCTATATTTATTGAATTTTTAATTTTTAGATGTTAAAGATATTTTTTCTAGATTAATTTTAGATTCTAAAAAAAGTTTAAGACTGTATTCCCTTACAATCTATGTATGTGTAAAATATACAAAAATATATAAATATATATAAACTCACGCGCGATTCATACATAACATACGTACACGCAACATACCACCCATCCACACACACATATTCACACCTACAAACAACACACATACACACACAAATTTTTTAAATGGATACAAAAAATTTTATTGTACAATAAATACATTCCTTAAATATTGTTTGTAATATATTTCACAACTTATTATATAACTTCTTTTTTATCTATTTCTATCCTAAAATTATTCAGAATACTAAAAAGGATATTCAATGCTCAAAGATCTAATCCCAGATAGCACACAGAGCCCAAAAGAATTCATTATTATATTCAGTTTTATGTCATCAATTCTGAGTTCATTTTTAGGTGCAAAAAGAATCCCTTTTAGAAAAAGAATTCTTTTTGCATAGGAAAATGAACTCAGAATTGGTGACATAACAGTTCTTTTTTCACTCTGTGCTATCTGGGATAATAATGATCAGAGTAAAATAGCTAATTAATATAGATATATAAAAAATTTAACTTTGTCTCAGATGGAAACAAAGTTTTGTTTTAATAATGTAGATTGCTTTTTTGTGAATTTCTATATGGATTTATGATTTTTTTACATCAATGTTTTAAATTATTTTTCCATATAAAAATATTAAAATAAGTTGAGTAATGAATACTTTATAAGATATTTCATATTATTTTCAAACTATTTGATATATTTTATAAAATATCTTTAGAAATAAATTTATTTTTTGATAATTTATCTTAATAATTTTTAACGTAAAATATAAAAGAAATTGATTTAAACATGAAAAACATTCTGATGTAAAGTGCAAGCAAGTCATTAGTATTATCAACACAAAAAGTTATTTTTACTTCTGACAAAATTAACTTTTCATATTATATAGTTTATTCAGTGAGTACTAGATCTTTAAATCTCGAAACTTTTCTTTTGGAACACTGTATATATCATTACATATTCGTTTTATTAATTTTTTTATTACAACAGATCCGGATGTTTATCCTTTTGTTCTTGTTGTAACCACTTTAAGCATATCACTTTAATTGCACTTTGACCGAGTCTATCCGATTCTTTTAAGATTCTTCTTATATCTTGAGCTCTAGAATGCTTAACCGCAAGCAGGTATGCAGCCTTTAATTGTTTACTTTCAATGTATGCGTTTATCTGGAAAATAATATTGCAAAATATATAAACAGTAAACAGTTAAAAATCTCTTTTGACATATTTAAAAATATGTTTACATGTGTATAAGTATCGATATATAGATTAATTTAGCTAAGTTTTATAATTTATTTTGGCTAATTTTTGTTTCTTGCAAGGAGGAAAGTTACATTTCAGATACAGATTTATTATATTAGACTTTATCTGATAAAATTTCAAGGTAATCTAAAGATCGAATGAAAATTTATTTTTAAAATCGATAAAAAGGTCATAAATGTCATGGTGATACTAGAGATTATCTAAAAAAATCGAACAAAAAATTAATTTAATTTTGTGTATGATTGAAAAATGAAATCTTATTGACTATCAAAAAAAATTTTTTTAATCAGAGACGTCAGCAAGACAGAAATTTACTAAAAAATATACTAATAAATCTTAAATTCAGCTTTAACGTTTTGTAATCTATGACAAAATTATGACAAAAACTTTAATAGCTCTTAGAGCTTTATAATCCACGGTTGTTTATTGTCTCAAATATCTTTCATTTCTTATATAAGAGTCTTTAGGAAGGATGGTTTCATGACCTTGAAACTTTTCGAACAAAATCTACTGCCATAATAAGAGTATATATCTCAGCTGTAACTTCCCTCATGTCAAAGAAGCAAGAGCTAGAGCCAAAATAGATCGTAAATCACCCTGTATATTAATATAATTGGAATAAATCTCACTCTAAGTTCCGTGTCGATTATTAGTCTGATTAAAGTATCTATATGATTCTTAAGTATTGGATTCTGTTCGCTGTATGAATGAGTCAACAATAATTTCACACAGTGTGCCAAAACATGATCAGAAATGACGTGGGCATTAGGTGCTCCAGAACTACGGCAACACTTGATTAATTGCTCAATTGCGGCTACGTTATTTTTTAAAGCCAATACATGACCAGCTAAAGAATACATCTTCTGTTGTGGAAGATTATAATCTGTAAAAGATACATTGACAAAACATTATCTATAGCAGCACATGTTATTATAAATTTACTGCATTTTATATATATATTATATACATATGTGTGGTGTGTGTGTGTGTGTGTGTGTGTAATAATTTTATTTACTTAAAACTAATCAAATAAAATATTTATGTACGTGTGTGATTAATGATGAATTGCACCGATTTGCGTTATAATGCTACCAACCTTGCATTATCCTGAAAGCTATACCGAACCCTTCCCCAACATCGCGACCGCACAATATAGCTAAAACGGCTAAATGTATTTTCTGTTGCTGATTGCCAAATAACGTAGGCAACTGAAGTGTCTGAGAGTTATCGCTGTCAATATCTGGAAAGAGATTTAAAAATTCAGTCGACGTTCTTTCCTCTTTTTCGCAGTTTGCTAGGAACTTCGCGATTTCCATCTGTCTGCATATAGTATTTATATGTCTGTCTATTTCTGACGGCTCCATCTCCATCGCTAAAGTATTTTGACCACTGTGGCCAGAGTTTATGCTCTTTCTTCTCTTAGTTAAATTCTCCATCTGCAATTCCGACTCTAAGTGTTTTTGAGCGTCTTGTAACAGATGCGCCCTGTTGTGCAAGTCTGAATAAGTGTTTGCTTCATTGGTATAAAAACGGATACATGTCATCGACGCTCGTACACAGTCTGTCATGAAGAGCTGTATCTGATATAAAATGTGCCAATATTGCTTTCTTTCCATGAAATGACAGATGGATATCAAGTACTTTCTCCAAATAACTAAAGTGGGATCTTTCGCTCTCATTGCGTCGTGAAGTTTCTCGATGGAACCGTTCCTCAAACAGTACAAGTAAACTCCGTTAAGAAATAAATCGCACTCTATGTCATTGTCTAATATATATACTAGGCATTTATCGAACTCTTTATGCCTCAAGAAGAACTGTAAAATGGAGGTATAACTTCCGTATGCTAACAGATAATACAGACTTTCTTGATAGTAAACCGTCTGATTAGCGGGTGTTAGATATTTAACGTTAAACTGATTTTGGCTAACAGCTTTCAGATTATTGAGCGTCTGTAAGATCTCTTGCGCTGCGTCGGACTTGGGTTGCAGACTTGGATGCTGAGTTTGGGATCGATGCATGCTCAAGGTATCTAATATTTGAAGAATCTCCGTCAATAACGGCGGATTTTTTAACGGCCGGCATTTAGAATATTCGCTTTTCTTCGAGTGACCGCTTTTACATGCTTGTCTCTTCTCATCTAATATCTCATTTTCCTTCGGCCCGGACGTCGTTAATTCTCTCTTGGGGCTTTCGATCGACTCCTTGGGATAAGATATCATAACCCAATCGTCGAGATCCTCGTGCAAAATTTTATCGAGGCAATGGTGAAACTTCTCTTTTGCCTGTTCTAAATGTCCCACCTTCAAGCAAGCCTTTCCCCACGCGGCCCACACACCCTGTGTGTCCAATCCTGCCTTCGTGCTGACGTCCAACGCCAACGTCCAACGTTCCTTTTCGGTGAGGAGATCACGTAATTTTCTCAGCGTGTGCTCGTCGAGGTCGTCCGTCGGTATAAGAGCCACACAATCGGATTGGACAAGAGTCGCAATTAGATCCACCTGCGATAAAAATCGATCACAGTGCGCGAGGCCAGTATTGAATCCAAATTTCGCGCATTTCATTTTAGCCGCGACTAGTAGAGAACGTATCATTTTGATGATCACTGCGTGATCAACTTCGGGATTTATCCTGCCACCGCTAACAGGTTGGAGCAATTGTTTCATCTCGTCACAACGATCCAATAGAAAACTGTAACAAAATTGTTTTATGTCTTTCTTACAAATTAAACATAAATATAAATGATAGCATCAATCAACTTTTATTATATTTCTTGTATTTTTCATCTCATGGTATCAGTCTACTAATAGGAAAAGCGTAATTGCGAAATTATAAGGCAAAACTACACAGACAAAAATGTATTAACATTATTAGTTAATAGAAGTTTATTTGAAAACATTGTTAATTCAACAACAGCGTTAACAAAACAAATATACAATGCTCTTGTTTTAATAAAATCTTATTTGTTTTATCAATACTGTTATTGAATTAATAAGATCATTTTCAATTAGACTGCTTATTTAATAGAATTATCATTTTTTTTCTTTATAGCTTTATGTTCTTTTTTCTCATCATTGGGTCAAGGAAATTGAACCATCTTTTTTTTATTCTTCTTCTTATGTAATTAGCTATAACTTAGTAGTAATTACTGTGCGAGTGGTCCTACGAAAGGCGATACCTAGATCTATAATGTACCATTGTAACTCCTGGTAAGAGGTTCTAATGGCAGTCTCACTCCCTCATGCCCGACACAGCTTTCTTTCGCCCTTGTGTCAGATACCAGTCTTTCTCAGCCCCATGTCAGATACTAGGCTTTGTTCAGCATCAGGCATCGGTCCTATCTCAGCTCCCGCGCTAGACACTATGCCCCGTTTAGCTTCCTGTGTCGGACATCAGGTTCTTATTGCTGCTCATTTCCCCTTTTACCAGATATTGGCTGCGTTCAGCAGAGAAAACAGCTTTGCAACTGTTGTGAGATTCTTCAACATGATTGGCTCTTGCCTTTAGTTCTTCACGAATCTAAATGTATAAATGTATAAATAACAATCATATTAAAGAATTTTACAACAGTTGCTTTTTCTGCTGAACGCAGCCATTCTTTCTACTTTTGGCAGGAATACTTTCGGTGGTTTTGCCTTGCCTCCCGAGAGATGGCGATCGCTTCCAGAGACCGTGTTCCGATATGCGCCGCCAAGTAACCGTGGGGCACTGGCAGCACATTCAGAGCACCGTCATAATCTGGATGATTTTGAACTTGGATCTTCGGCAAAGTAAGCTGTCACGCAGCGCCCACAATCGTCTCATTAGCTATAGCTTAATCAATACTATTTTTTAAATAAGCTTTTTTAAAGTTTTAATATGATTTGGAAATTATTGTTGCAACTTTGATTAAAAAGTAAAAAAATTATAACAATTGATTCGGTATTTTTCAAAGAAAAAGTATCTAAAGATAAAAAACATGATTTTACAGAGCGTTTTTTATGTTAACTGACATGCATTTCTTGTAATGGTTTATCCTTTTTTTATCTATTTCAAATCGAGGAAGGTTTAATATCAATATCAAATTAAAATTCAAATTTTTTTTCGAATTTTGACACATTTATGAAGAAATGCATGAGCTTACTAATTTCAAAGTCGAGGGACTGAAGGGACAGAACCTGAAGATATTAATCGATTTCGATGAAATTTTACCCAGACCGTATTGAGGTCCATAGCTAACTTTTGGGGGGTATTACTAATCGATTTTCAAAAAAATTTTTTGTTAGCCCACCCTAATGTACATATAATATATATATGTATATATACACAGAATGTCCCATTTTATATTTGACAGTCAAATATTTGGAAATCGCGAGGTTAATTGAGAGAAAAATGTTTCAGACAAAAGTTGTAGGGTTTCGACATAAGGGGGACATAACATTGGTTTGACCCTGAGTGGTGTCGTCAAGGTCAGGACAAGGTCACTTGAATTTTTTAAATGGAATCCATTTTTCGTTGCATATTCTTGTAGCTTATTTCGAGAGCTTTCCAAAACGTATTGATAAAATGTTTTTTGGTTAAGTAAATCTCGAGTTATAAATCTTGAAAGTTACAGTACCACCGGCATTAGCATTATCTAAGGTGTCCGAAC